CCGGCTCTGAAGCGGCGGCGGGGAGGCCGGCAGCAGAGCGTTCCCTGCGCATGCGCAGGGGACGTTCTGTGAGTTTCGGGGGGATTTAAGTATCCCCCCGATATTTTTGTCCAGTTTTTAGATTTTTGTGCACACGTGGGGACTGGCCCACGTGTGCACAAACCTCCCCCGGCCCCCCAAGTGCCCCCGAAGTGCGGATATAGCGATCCGCACGGAGGGGGCAACTTGGCTATTAGATATAGTGATGGGCAAGGGCGGGGTAAAGTTTGGCCCCTTCATTGTCCTGGCTGATGCCTTCCCTTCTCTTCCGTGCGACGAAAGGAAGGAGAAATATCTCCCCTTTTTGTATAAAACAGGGGGGAACCTCTGAGGAAGAAGCAGCCCTGACTGTGTCAAAATTGACAGGTGGCGAAAGAGTCACATTTGCTTAAGGCAGGGAAGAAGAAAAAAAGATTTTCTTATTCATTGAGAACCTCAGCCCCACCAGGAAAAAAAAATTGCCCCACAAGCCACAGAATCCTGGCTACGGCTTGTATGTTACAGGAGCTCCTTATGAAGGGTGCGGTAGAATAGGTCCCAGGTGGGTTTTACTCCCAAGAGTTTTCATTCTAGGTTCCTTTTTGCAGATAAGAAAAATGGTGGTCCCAGACCTATAGTAGATCTTAGAAAATTAAACGAATCCTTAGAAATGTCAAAAATTCGGAATGAACATAAGAACATAAGAGACGCCAATGTTGGATCAGGCCAAAGGCCCATCCAGCCCAACACTCTGTATCACACAGTGGCCAGAAATACCAGTGCCATCAGGAGGTCCACCAGTGGGGCCAGGACATCAGGAGCCCTCCCACTGTTGACCCCCCCAAGCACCTTCAATGGTTTTGGACCAGAACCACCCCCTTCTCCCACATGAACTTTGCCTGTGCTAGGAGGTCCTGATCCAAGTGACACCATCTTCTGAGGGGAGGCTGGTGGTGACTAGATCTTGGACCTTCTTGGCGATGGTGGCCCATGTATGGAATCCCTTCCCTGCAGAAATTCAAACGACACTAAGTCTATCATCTCTCCAGCGCACCACCAAGTCACATCTTATCCTTCCGTGCATTGGACAATTATGCGCTTTCCCATCGCGGCTGCAGCCCTTTCTGTTCCTTTTATCTTGCTATTGGTTTACAAACTTTGCATTGCTTATTTTAATTCCATTGGGGCCACCTGGAGGGATTTTGAGGCAGTGTCGAATTAAAAACGCGGGGCTCGCAACACCCCCTCCCACGCCACACGCACACTCCCTGGAATCAAGACGTCTGCTGTAAGCTGCCGATATGCATTATCAGCACGTTCCATGCACACCCCCGCCTGTGAAACAGTTTACAGTTAATCCACTTGGAAATTGCACTGAAAGTGTATTGAAAGTATATTATTTAGTGTGTGTGACCGTAGCCTTATTTTCATCAGACACGTGTAGGAACAGAGATCTGTGTCCTTATAAGCCAGTCAGAAAGTGGGAGGGGCATTCCAAAGAACGCTTGTAAAGGACGCAGGGGTCCAATGCAGAATGTAATCAGCTTGATTAGAGAAGAGGGGGCAGGAAATTAGCATCAGCAGTGAGCTACGCATCCCATGTCCCTATTCAACTCTGGGAGGTCCACTGTTCAAAACTCGTGAGTTCTGAATAAACAGCTAGTGTTGCTTAGACGCTTCCTCTGTCAGTTTGGTGTAGTGGTTAGGGGCGCGGACTCTAATCTGGGAGAACTGGCTTTGATCCCCCACTCCTCCACTTGCACCTGGCTGGATGACCTTGGGCAAGCCGTAGCTCTGATAAGAGCTGTTCTTGAAAAAGAGCAGTTTCTGTCAAGAGCTCTCTCAGCCCCACCGACCTCACAGGGTGTCTGCTGTGGGGAGGGGCATGGAAAGGAGTTTGTAAACCGCTCTGAGACTCCCTTGGGTAGTGAAGGGCGGGGGATAAATCCATCTCCTCTTCTCTTCTCAACTTGCCCTGAATGGGCCAATTATGGACTGGGTGATAACTGGTCACAGTCTTCTTTGGCGCTGGTTTTTAAAGTAATGGACAGATAACTGCCTCCTTTAGCAAATGAGGAAAGACACCCTGAGTTAGTCACGGATTTATGATAGGAAGGCACGCTGGCTCAGAGGCAGAGCATCTGCTTAGCAGGCAGAAGGTCCGGAGTTCAATCCCCGGCATCTCCACTTAGAAGAAGAAGAAAAAGAGATTGGATTTATCCCCCGCCCCCTTCACTACCCAAAGGTGTCTGAGAGTGGCTTACAAACTCCTCTCCCTTCCCCTCCCCACAACAGACACCCTGTGAGGTAGGTGGGGCTGATAGAGCTCTTGACAGAAACTGCTCTTTTTCAAGGACAGCTCTTATCAGAACTACGGCTTGCCCAAGGTCATCCAGCAGGTGCGAGTGGAGGAGTGGGGAATCAAACCCGGTCCTCCCAGATTAGGGTCCGCGCACTTCACGACTACAACAAACTGGCTCTTCTTCCTGGAAGAAGAAGAGATTGGATTTATACCCCGCCCTTCACTACCCAAAGGTGTCTGAGAGTGGCTTACAAACTCCTCTCCCTTCCCCTCCCCACAACAGACACCCTGTGAGGTCGGTGGGGCTGAGAGAGCTCTGACAGAGACTGCTCTTTTTCAAGAGCAGCTCTTATCAGAACTAAGGCTTGCCCAAGGTCATCCAGCAGGTGCGAGTGGAGGAGTGGGGAATCAAACCCGGTCCTTCCAGATTAGAGTCCGTGCCCTTAACCACTACACCAAAAAACAAACTACAGGGAGTAGGTGATGGGAAAGACTTCTGCCCTGAGACCCTCGAGAGCCCCTCACAGTCTGCGTAGACCAGACAGACCTTGATAGACCAAGGGTCCAACTCAGGGTAAGGCAGCTTCACTTGTTCATAATGGACATCAGGGGCTCCTTCAGCTGCCTCTTCCAAGATATCAGTAACCTGGATGGACAAGGATGCAGCTGTTTCGTCAGGCCTTCGGCTGAGGCGGTGGGAGTCCATGTACGGCCTCCCTGAGGTTTCCGTCACCCATCTAATAGCTGTTGGCCATTCTTTATCTGTGACCAATGGGCCGGAGAACAGTGTTCCTTCTAAGCTGAGTTAGCGTGAGCTAGCTCAGTTTTTTAGCCTCTGGCTTGTACGTTTTTGTCTCCGCTCAGGAAGGAATGGCTCCAGAGCCGACTAATCTATGCAGCAGCCAAATTGCTCGCTCACCACTTTAATGCCATTGGACTCACAAAGTAGAATGTTTGCTCACGAGACTCCACAGCTTAGAGGGAGCGTTGCCCGGGGACCTTTCGCAACCAGCCAATTTCTGTCCTTAGGCTGTGGCCACCATTTTAATGTATGCTACAGTGTTTCTAGTAATTTTAATCATATCCCTGCTGGAAAAGTGGGCTATAAATATGGACAATAAAAGAACAGGGGTGGCCCTCACCAGTCCCAACAAGATCCTGCTAACCTCCGTCATACTGACCACGCCGACATGATAACTTGGCTTTTAACATTATGCAAGTGGATTTTCCCCCCCAAATAAAAAGACGGAGAGAGAGAGAGAGATCTCTCATAAGAACATCAGAAGAGCCCGACTGGATCAGGCCGATAGTCCATCTAGTCCAGCATTCCGTCTCAGACAGAGGCCAGCCAGTTCCTCTGGAGGGCCAACAACAGGGCAAAGAGGCCGAGGCCTTCATAAGAACGTAAGAAGAGCCCTGCTGGATCAGACCAATAGTCCTTCTAGTCCAACATCCTGCCTCACACAGTGGCCAACCAGTTCCTCTGGAGGGCCAACAACAGGGCACAGAGTCCGAGGCCTTCATAAGAACGTAAGAAGAGCCCTGCTGGATCAGACCAATAGTCCCTCTGGTCCAGCATCCTGTCACACGCAGTGGCCCACCAGTTCCTCTGGAGGGCCAACAACAGGGCACAGAGGCACTACCCCCTATAGGAGGTGGTGACAGAGGCCGAGGCCTTCCCCTGCTGTGGCCTCCTGGCTCTGGGATTCAGAGGCTTAGTGCCTCCGAATGTGGAGGTTCCCCTCAGCCACCATGGCTAGTAGCCATCGAGAGATTCATGGAGGATAAGCCTATCTCTACATCCTCTGTCCCCCTTTCTGTTGTCCAAAAGTGAGCAATACTATACTAAAAACGGCACATCTGTAGTGCAAAGTTTCTAAACAGAGCCAAGGAAGATTCAGAAGAGTGACCCCGATAACCGAACGGAAATAGTTTCTTCCCACGGATGCTGGAGAGGATAGCAGACAGCATTAAGGATCTGCAGGAGTTCTGAGCGAGGGCCGTGCGTTTCCTGTGGTCCTTCTCACATGCTGGTGGAACCAAATCACGCTGCGGGAACCAAAAAGAGGAGAGAATGGAATTTGAAGCCGACATCATGGAAACTGGGTGAGTGGGGGGGGGGGAGTGTAGAGTCAACTGGGAGGAACGAAAAGGCCATCGAGCCCAACCCCTGGCTTTGAGACCACCTAGAAGAGGGGTCCCCCCCGCCCATCTGCCAACCCCTGACAAATCAAGGCACTGACCCACAGACAAAGTAGGCACGGGGAGTAGAGGGAAGATGTCCAAGCAAGAGGTGCCTGCAAAGCCAACAGGTCAGGATGGCGACTCCAGGAAGTGAGCCAAGCCACACACAGTCCACGTGGGGCACTCACTAGCCATTTGTATTTGGAGGAGAAATCCAATGCCTGGCTCCCGAAATAGGCTCTTTGGTCAAGCCAACTATTCAGCAGAAGGCCTTTCCAGCTTCACACAGCCCCCCCCCCTCACCCCATCACTTACCACTGAGAGAGCTGTCCGATCCCTGGTCACTCGCTGCAGAAAGGAAAAGAGAAATGGGCGAGCCGCGGAGAGGGGGCACGTAGCAAAATCTCCACCTCTGCTTCTTGTCCCTTCCCAATCAGTTCTAGCCTCCCTCATTTGCCATTGCAAATCGACCCCGACACGAAGCAAACGTCTTCTCTAAATCAAGTCCAGTTCTGCAACCTGCCGTTTCAACTGATCTGCATACATTGTGGTCTTTGAATTCATTTCCTCTGCTTTTGCAATGAATTGTGTGTGTGTGGGGGGGATGCAATCCCTTCCCCTGGCCTTCCCCCCAGTGTGAAGAGAAGAAGAAGAGATTGGCTTTATACCCTGTCCTTCACTACCCAGAGGAGTCTCAGAGCGGCTTACAAACTCCTTTCCCTCCCCCTCCCCACAACAGACACCCTGTGAGGTGGGTGGGGCTGAGAGAACTCTGACACAAACTGCTCTTTTTCAAGGACAGCTGTGCCAGAGCTTGTGACTGGCCCAAGGTCACATCAGCAGGTGCAAGTGGAGGAGTGGGGAATCAAACCCGGTTCTCCCGGATTAGAGTCCGCACACTTAACTGCTACACCAAACTGGCTCTCAAGTGTGGCCCACACTTGTTCAGTCCTACCTTATTGACTACAGGGGTGGCCAAACTGCTGCTCGGGAGCCGCATGTGGCTGTTTCACAAGGTCTAATTTAATGTTAACAAAAAGCAAATGTGCCTATTTTCCAGTAAAACGTGTAATATTTGTTCATGTCTTGCAACTCTCAAACATCTGACGTTTATTCTATGTGGCTCTTGCGTTAAGGAAGTTTGGCCACCCCTGGACTAGAAGCTTACTTATGTCCCTTGCAAAATACAGCTGAGGGTCTCAACAGACCAAATTCTATTAACGTGTTTATAGCAGGACCCTACTGCTGCCCTGCAAATCTGTTAGCTGTTTATTCTTATTTATTTATTTAATTCATCTGTCCCTCGCCTTCCTCCCCGATGGAGACCCAAAATAGCTTGTGTTAAGAGCATAAGAATATAAGAGAGCCAGTCTGGTGTAGTGGTTAGGATTGTGGACTCTAATCTGGGAGAACTGGGTTTGATTCCCCACTCCTCCACATAGTAGCTGCTGGTGTGACCTTGGGTCAGTCACAAGTTCTTTCAGAGAAGAGAGCTCTCTCAGCCGGGTGTCTGTTGTGGGAAGGAGAAGGGAAAGGAGATTGTAAGCCGCTCAGAGACTCCTTCAGGTAGTGAAGGGCAGGGTATAAATCCAGTCTCTTCTCTCTTCTTCTAAGAAGAGCCCTGCTGGATCAGACCAATAGTCCATCTAGTCCAGCATCCCATCTCACACAGTGGCCAGGCCAACCAGTTCCTCTGGATGGCCAACAAGAGGCATAGAGGCCGAGGCCTTCCCCTGATGTTGCCTCCTGGCTCTGGGATTCAGAGGATTAGTGCCTCTGAACAAGGAGGTTCCCCTCAGCCGCCATAGCCAGTAGCCACTGATAGCCCTACCCTCCATGAATCTATCTCATCCCCCTTTCAAGCTGTTTATTCCTGTGGCCATCACTAGATCCTCTGGCAGCGAATCCCACATTTTAATCGCTCTCTGTGTAAAGGAGTATTTCCTTTTGTCCGCCTGGAACCTACTGCCCATCAGTTTCCTATTTTTGGGAGTGGGAGAAAAAATTTGTTCTCCTCCCCTCCGTTTTGTTCTCACAACAACCCTGTGAGGTAGGTTAGGCTGAGAAAGTGTGACTGGCCCAAGGTCACCCAGCAAGCTTCCAAGGCACAAGCGGAAATTGGAACCCAGGTCTCCCAGATACGAGTGCGACACACTTATCCACTGCACCACACTGGCTGGTTGAAGGAAAGCAGGAAGCCGGGAATGGGAGGAGGAGGGGAGCTGAAGGGGTGGGCGAGGGGAGGAAAACCTCATTGCAAGCTGAGGGCCAAGGAACTCGGCGGGTGGGGAGGCAGCATCAGTACCACCGACTCTAAGAAACAGCGGGTCCAACGGGGAGCTCGTCTTTCCTCTCTTCGGTCGAATGCTGGTTCGCAGAGCCCCTCCCTCAGCCTGACGTCTGATTGGCTGAGCATGCCACATAACCGCCCCCTCCTCTCTTCAGCTAGGGAGGGCGACAGCCCCCCCCCCCGGATTTGCAGGGCCAGCCTGATTCCCGGGCACAGCTGCCTTTCCCACACCCACGGGGCTGCCTTGTGTCAAGTCAACATCTTAGCATGCGGCAGGGCTATTTGTGGGCAGGAACACACAGGAACGGAGTTCCGGCTGGTACCCAGGTTGGCCACACCCAGCAGGAACTCATTAGCATAATAGGCCACACCCAACAGCAGAAACTCATTAGGATTGGCTACGTTAGGGGTGTGTGGCCTAACATGCAAAGGAGTTCCTGCTACAACAAAAGGCCCTGGGTTTTGACAACAGAATAACAAGCAAAAGGTGGGTGTGGCTGGATGACCAGACTTCTGGTAACATGGGGGTGCGGCCTAACATGTTAATGAGCTGTGCTGTCAGGGGTGTGGCCTAATATGCTAATGAGTTTCTGCTGTTGGGTGTGGCCTATTATGCTAATGAGTTCCTGCTGGGCTTTTTCTACAAAAAGAGCCCTGTGGGGGAAGAGTCACTCACCTGGCGTCGCTGTGTAGCTGCCTTCTCGCGGCTTTTCTGCAGAGACAAAAATCAGAGCATCAGAATCCGGAGGTGCCTCCGGAGATCACCTAGTACCACCCCGGGCCTAAGGCAGGGCTCTGAAACCCTAAACCCTCCTTTGCTCCTCCACTCTCTTCCTGGTAAAGGTAAAGGTTGAAGGTGAAAGTTTCCCTTGCTCCAAAGCCAGTCAAAACCAACTCTAAGGGTGTGGTGCTCATCTCGGTTTCCAGGCCGAAGAGCCAGCGCTGTACGAAGACGTTTCCGTGGTCATGCGGCCAGCATGACTAAACGCCGAGGCGCATGGAATGCTGTTATCTTCCCGCTGAAGCGGTACCTTTTTATCTACTAGCAATTTTTTGCTTTCTAACGGCTAGGTTGGCAGGAGCTGGGGCCAGAGACGGGGAGCTCAGTCCGTCACGCGGCACTCAGGTCTTGAACTGCCAGTCTGCAGCTCAGCGTCTTAACCTCTGAGCCACCGCGGCCCTTACGGTACTTCCTGGCACCCTCCAGCAAGTGGACACGTGGAACACATGAAGTTGCCTTAATGTGGAATCAGACCCGCAGACTGGCAGCAGCTCTCCAGGGGCTCCGGGTGAGGTCTTTCACATCGCCGTCTACCTGATACATTTCACTGGAGATGGCGGGGATTGAAGCGGGGACCTCCGGCATGCCAGGCAGAGGATCTTCCCTTGAGCCACAGCCCCTCCCCGGTGCTGCCCCATACTCAGGGGTCATTTCCTACAGGAGCGCACAGGAGTGGCGCTCCGGCAGTAAAGAGCCCAGGGGGCGGGCACATGCAGCAAGCCCCGCCCCCTGCTCCCAGGTAAGTTGCCCCCCCGGGGCCCCGGTCCAAAACAGTCCAGTGGCACCTTTAAGACCAAGTATTATTCAGGTGCAAGCTCTCCCTCCTCTGCCAGGACAGATCTGCACGTCCCTCCCCCCCCAATAGCTAGCAATCCAAAACAGTCCAGTGGCGCCTGAGCAGTGGGTGTTGCCTTCGGACACACTTCCGATGATGTCAAGGGGTGTGGCATATGCAAACAGGTTATGCTAATGAGTTATGCTAATGAGCTCCTGCACCTCTTTTTCTACGAAATGACCCCTGCCTATACTGAATCAGACCACTGGGACTCCATCGAGGTCAATATCGTATTGTCTACTCTCCGGGGTCTCAGATGGAGGTCTTTCACCTCGCCTCCTACTTGGGCCTTTTTAACTGGAGATGCCGGAGATTGAACCTGGGACCTCCTGCATGCCAAGCAGAGGCTCTCCCACCAAACCACGGCCCCTCCCTCCTGGCATTTTACTCACTGACGTAGAAGAAGACTCCGGCCCCCGCCAGGATGACAGCAGCCACGACCCCCAGGAGGGCTCCCACAATAAGCCCCACTTTGGATGCTGAAATGGGAAGGGGAAAAAAAGCATCTGCTCACCTTGGCCCCATATCTGCAAGGCAAAAACCCAGAACAGGAATGCTCCTGTAAAATGTGGCTCTGCTGCTGATAGAGTATGAAGACAAAGATGTTACATATAACGGTATTCCCTCTAAGCTGAGTTAGTGTGAGCCAGCTCGCGGTTTTTTAGCCTCCGGCTCACACATTTTGTCTGAGCTCAGGAAGGGAGGGCTCCGGAGAAAACAAATTTATTGCAGCAGCCAAATCGCTCGCTCAGAACTTTAATGCCAGGAGCTCACAAAGTAGAATTTTTGCTCACAGCTTAGAGGGTGCATTGATCATAATGTCCCTGTATAAATCTATGGTGCGGCCTCATTTGGAATACTCTGTACAGTTCTAGTCGCTGTATAAAAAATGCGGTGAATAAAATACAGAGAATACAGATCTCTCCAAAAAGAGCATTGGAAAAGGTGCAGAGACGGGCAACAGGAATTATTAATGGGAAGGAACACCTTCCCTAGGAAGGTTAGGGTCAGGCTAGGGGAGAACGGCTGGCTCAAAATGAGTCAAAGAGCTCCACGGCCCCAGCAGGGGTTTAACCCCAGAGCGGACACAGGGTTGTCTCTCAGTCCTGAATTAAACATTCAGCAAAATAAGCAGGCACTTGTGGCACCATTGGAAGGGGGGCACCGTGGAGTTTCCCCTCCTAGTTGTCATCCCCTCAGCTCTTTCACTGCCACACTCGACTGTAGCTGAATTTTTTTGTCACCGTCCTTATCTGCCACATTGGACTTTAAAGGTGTCATCACGATTGTTTCCATCTCATGGTGCGAGAGTTTCTCTTCCGTCATGTCAGTTAAGTGATGGAAGGGCAGAGGGGCACCACCAGGGGTCATTTCCTTATAAGAATATAAGAGAGCCAGTCTGGTTTAACACACACAGTGCTGCCCCATACTCAGGGGTCATTTCCTGCAGGAGCGCACAGGAGCAGAGCTCCGGCAGTAAAGAGCCCAGGGGGCGGGCACATACAGCAAGCCCCGCCCTCTGCTCCCAGCAGCCCTCAGTCAGAGCAAGAAGCAGCCAGGTAAGCTGCAGAGCCCCCCCTGCCCCCCCGGCCCAAAACAGTCCAGTGGCACCTTTAAGACCAAGTTTTATTCAGGTACAAGCTCTCCCTCCTCTGCGAGGACAGATCTGCACGTT